TCTAGTGTTCATGATGGATAAGGATAATTTGATGAGTAAAATAATTGACATTGTTTGTCACTGAATTAAACTGGGATATCAGTTTAATGGTTTTACTTTATCACCATTCTGATTCACCATTAAATATTCTCAACTAACTTTTAACAAAGGATGCTAAAAAGCATCTTTTGTATTCTTTTCGTAAAAAGTCGATCGAACAACACCCATCATTCTATTAACTCAATCTCAATAAAAACAATAAACCATTTCGAAACTGACAACCTTTGCATCTATTACAGTGTTAGAACTATAAATAAAATGGACATAAGTTAGTGGGGTATTCAATAAGAATAACACACATGTAGATGTGAGCGGAGTAAATCTCACATCTGTGCATAACAAGATAAAACATTGTTTCGGGGTCCACTAGAAAAACGGTCAGTTGTTGTGAAATATTAGCGTGGGCCGAAACATTTTTCATCCGTTTTCCTCTCGGTACACCTTCAGTTGGAACTTCATGAATATTTCAAGCGGGATCAATTATTAAAATGATTTACTACTGCTCCGCCTTGCCGTATAAACGAGAGTCTATGTGTGCCTCCGTTTTTCCACAATATAAGAAGAAAACTGGCCGATTTTTTGTCCACTTCCATGAAGGAACTAAACAATTAAAATTCCAGGCACGTTTGTTATAAGAAGGGTTTCGTTTTTTTTACTCTTCACTCTTGTGCTGGCGCATTCGCCGTCCTAGATTTATAGAGTTCAGGCGCGATGTTTATTTCAGTACCCTTTAAAAAGTGGAGTTTTGAATTATACCATTCCCTTCATGCTATGAAATTTATGGTGATATGTAATATAATCAAATACATACGATACAAACTCGACCTGTGTTCTATAATCCAATTTACGCTATTCTACTGCCTGATCATAAGTAAAGAACATTTCGCATTTTGATTTAGAATGAGGTTATAAAGAGGAAGCTACATAAAGCTGCCATAGATTTCTTATTAAGTTCAGTAACATAATAAATAACCCCTTAACACCCGATAGGAACATAACATGTACTTGAAAGTGAACACCCACATACTAAAGAGTAGATAAAACTTTATAAAGTGTGCTCCCGGCATTTCGCTTGCAAATTGCTCGTCGCAGGTAGAACGAATATCATGTTACGTCATGCCGCAACGAAGGCATTAGCATATCGATGCGGCCAAGCCACCTGCTAAAAATGTGCTCAAGAGCTGTTAGCCGTCTCTGGTCACTTAACTCACTACCTATGAATTTATATTCGGAGGTTTATTGCTAGGATTTTTAGGAGTTAAAGGGTTGTAATCGTAATGAGCGAAATTTTGTTCGTTTTATGTTTGCTTTGGGATCCAGCAGTCTGGTCAGTAAATTGGTATTTTTTTTCATATATTTATTGCAGCTTTTCCAAGGATATAGGTATGTGTTTATTATAGTAATTTTTCATCAGTTCGTTTATTGATGAAAGCTTATTGGTAGAAGTAAAAAGTATGTGCAAAATCAAACCGTAGCGTTTATTAAAGAGGTTCTATTTTCTGAAAATATTCTCCATTGAACCTTAAAAATTATTATGGAAAAATGCATTAGATATAACAAAGTAATGCTGTTGAATAGATACAAAAAAATACTTATCTCATAATCTCATCGCGTTTCTTTTTACCTTATCTTATGTATTTATAGAAAAATATTTCGCCCTTAAAATGGCTTATTCTTTATAGATATTGTATATCGAGAGCATCATCCTCCCACGGCGCACATTACATTAGCCCTTTTATGGACCTCGGTACAGAGTTGGCCCTTTATCTTTAACGATAATCTTCGTTCTAACAGAATTCTAAATTGGTTCAATTAAATTTTAGATGTTATTTAGGCTATCAGAAGGTAAGGAACAACGTAGGGCTATGTGGGTTAGATAGATAGTTGTTAAGATAAAGAATTTAGCTCAGGAGCGGGCGCGTATTTACAAAGGCTCGACATTTACCTGGCGAGGTATTCAGGCTCGCCGATTGTGCTCGCTCCCTCAGCCGTGCTATACGATAAACGATGAAAAGACCTACCGCCGGACACTCCATTCATGTATATCACTGAGTGCCGTGCACGGGAGGTAACTATGTAGAAAACTGAGGAAATGTCGCCCATGCATTATAAACTATGTTTGTGATATGTTTACATTTCTAAGTAGGAAGCTACAAAATACAACATACTTTAAGGGTGGACTGAAGAAATTATTTAAATAGAATAACACCCACTTTAAAATAGTTTTAGTTTTTGGTTTAATGTAATAAATACACACCTTAACTTACAATTTTTGGTAAGTTAATTTTTTTAGTTAACATTGTATCATAAAGTTTCATTTTTTTGTAATCAAGGACGTTGAAAAAAAGCAGATGTAATGTCACTTGGAAATGATTGAGGCACCAAAATTGGTATATAGAGGTATTTATGTGCGCGTGTACTTGCAACATGTATGAAGTGCAATGACGAGCCACGTCACGCGACTGATGTCCTTCGTGTGTAGAAGTATAAAGTAGCCAGGTGCCACCGTCGTTTCAAGAGACTCTGTCTGCCTTTTATTTCAATGTGTCCTTGGTAATAATGAACTGTGTTGTGACACTGTTAGGAAAACCTTTTCATTGAAACTCTTTGTTTCTTACAAGTCTAAGAACTTTCAATGTGTGGTTTTGTCATTTTGACAAAGGTAGCCAGTTCTTGAAATAGACCAAGTCTATATAAAGACGCACTATACTGATAGAAACTTAAATATTGATGTCCATAATTGAGTAGGTCTCTAATAATAATCGATAACCGTCAAGGATGAGCGTAAAATATTTGTCATAAGTTACAGAAAATTCACGACATAAATTTATTATTTCATGACATCAGTTTAGTTAGGAATTTTATTTTTGTGTAATAATATTTTTGCTAGTTCCTCTATATTATGATAATAAGTAATATCATGCTTTATCGGAAACGTTTCCACTGTTAGGAGTTTCTTCTCTATAGATAACACCCCTTGTCGTATCCGAACAACGACTGATAGATTGCACATACAATCTGTTTCCGTGCGCGAATCGCACGCACAATACATTTCTCAGCTGCCTATCCCCAGCCACAGCGTCAACCTTACAGTCAATTATTCTTACCTCTATATTGTACCAAACACCCTCACACAACACATTTGCAATTCTTTCTTTAGTAAAATAAAATATATTCCGAATCTTATCACCGCATCACCCTCGGCACCCTTCTAAACACTTTTATTTGTATATGTACAAGAGTTACTCAATTGTCCGCGCTTTCTCGCGCGTGGAGTGCGATAAAAGCTGAAAAGATGAAATATAGTCGTCGGGACAGTCCAGTGGTCAATGTCTGTAGAGTTGTTTAGGGTAAGCCATTCGACCTGTTTATATTTTTTAACTGGGATGTTGATTTTGTATCTCGAATTTGCAGTTGTAAATAGAGGAAGGGTGTTTTTTGTTATGATATTATGGCCGTTGGAGACTCTCCCTTTTGATCGAGTGGGTTTGATACTTAGATGAAAAAAAAATGTTTTGAGTTGTTCCAGCTAAATTTAAAATACTCAACGAATGGGGATATTTAATCTTACCCACTTTTTATTAATCACTTATTACTAATACCAGTCCCTTTTTACCTACTGTTAAACATAGACTTCTTCCACAGCACTCCACCGAGCTCAATCTTCAGCTGTTCATTGTATTCATTTGTTGCATGTATCTATTTACTATATTCTCTATATTGCATGTATTCACATTACGGATATTGTCACTCCAACTAGCCCAATGATTCTCTCTCAACATTTGTCTAGATATAGTCTCTACTTCAAAACAATTCTACCTCAATAATCACCGGCTCTGCAACAAACAACGAGGCTAGTAAAAAAAACTATAAACAGTAAATAAATAAAAAAAATGACAATGATAAACAAAAAACATGCGAAAAGCGAGTCTACTACGTCACGCCCGTGATTCGTGACCACTAGCCTAATGCGACAGAAATGAATAGAGCAATGTAAACAATTATAATGGCGGCGTTTAATTAAAACAAAGATCCCTAATCTGTAAACAATGGTGTGGGTAATTGCAGCATTTATTGTGACACGAGGGGCGGTGGAATAATGAAAATATTTGTCCATTGATAGTCATTCCGCGCGTGACACCACCGACCTATTGCCCTAATAGCGTTCGATTGTCCCACTCACATTTCACCGACGCACGTCCGATCACAATATGATCTATGCCGTTTTAGCTTGTACTGCGTTAATGAGTTTTTCTGTCAATGTGTTAGCGATGGCGAATACCTATCATAAGGTTAAACATCGAGGGAATGTGTTTTCATTATTAATTTATTCAATTCTGTCCCATCGTATTGTATGTGTTTGTAGTAGGGTGTAAACGCAAATCGATACCAATGATCAGTGTTTTTTTATTTATTTACACTTTAATGCACACAAAATAAGGTACATAAGGCGGACTTAATGCCATATGGCATTTTCTCCCAGTCAACCTTTGGGTTAAATGTAAGCTCAGCGAAAATGGGCCTGTGTAATGTGTAGTGTAGTGTGTAGTGTGTAGTGTGTAGTTTTAATTATACCAAAGTAAAAAATAAGTTAAGGTTGCACCTTTTTTATTTTAATATTTAATTCTATGCGTTTAAGACAGTTACAAAATCCATATTTGGAGACGGATTTTATTTTTCTGGCAAATACTATGAGTATGTTAAAATACCCACCTTGGATTGTATCCAAATGTTGACACGCAGTTATGTATGTCTTGTATGTGTAAATTACTGTGAGATACAGAATTCAGCAAATATTTGCTTAGCAATATCTATAGGTAGGGGAGACCGGGTACAAAAGTAACGACGGGTCGAAAGTAACAAATGCTCTGTAAGTATATCCAACAGTCAAACACCGCGTCGATGTCGTAAGTTCACAGCGGGGCGGTACCCCCCTCACTTGCGTTTAGTCGCCACGCGCGCCTCGCGCTGTTAGGTTGTGTGAGAAGACGCTTTGTGATTTCGCAAACGAAACGTAAGTATTTTGTCCTTTTCTTATTTAGTGTTTTCGTGGACTTTTAAAGATGATACCAATCTGAATATTTCAACTTTAATTCTTGATTAGATTGATTACACAGTATTTTAATTTATTTTTGTCTAGCACATTTCATTTTAAGGTTATCTTTTATATTTTAACAGAAATGTGGTCGGGTACAAAAGTAACATAGCCCTATGGGTATACAAGTAACATGTTACTTTTGTCCCCGTACTTATTTGTTACCTTTTTTTTTTTTTGCTTATCATTTTTATGTGTGTATTTACCAGTATTTACTTTAACAGGATGCCGCGACAACGCATAAGAACTACCACACGAGGAACCACTGACACGGAAGTATACCGAAAAGCGGCTGAAGAGCATTCAAGAGATGGTACAAAAATTAGAGCCTTGGCAAAAAAATATAATGTTTGTCATGTAACATTATACAGATATATAAAAAAAATTGAAGCAGGAAATACTGGCGCCGTAGTGGGTTATCGTTGCGTCAATAGAGTTTTCAATAATGACGAGGAAAAATGTCTACAGGACTATTTGATCGAGTGCTCTGGAGTGTATTTCGGGTTATCTCCGCCTGAAGTTCGTAAACTGGCATATGAGTTGGCGGTAAAAAATGGTAAAACATTTCCTGAAAAGTGGCATGATACTCAAATGGCGGGTAAAGAATGGTTGACTGGTTTTCTGAAACGCCACCCGAGCCTTTCTTTGAGAAGACCTCAAGCAACAAGCTTGTCGCGAGCCTCGAGCTTCAACGAACATAATGTAAGTAAATTTTTTGATAATCTTGCTGAAGTAATGGACAGGTATAAGTTTGAGCCTAAGGATATCTGGAATATGGATGAGACAGGGGTAACCACTGTACAAAGACCTAACAAGATTTTAGCTCAAAAAGGAATTAAACAAGTAGGCGCAATAACGTCAGCAGAACGTGGGAAATTAGTAACTGTTGCTGTTGCGATTAATGCTCAAGGTGGACACATACCTCCCTTTTTTGTTTTCCCATTAAAGCGATACCAAGAGCACATGATACGAGAAGGACCTGTTGGTTGTGCCGGAGCTGGCAATTCTAGTGGATGGATGCAGGAAGCAGAATTTTTACTATTTTTAGAACACTTTAAAAGACAAGTCAAGCCAACAGTTGATCAAAAATGCTTGTTATTGCTCGACAATCATGCATCGCATATATCTATCCAAGCTCTAGATTTTTGTAAAAAACATGGAATAGTATTGCTGTCGTTTCCACCCCACTGCACCCATAAGCTTCAGCCTCTAGATAGAGCAGTATTTGGCCCATTCAAAAAAATGATAAACGCCGCAACAGACAACTGGATGCGGAATCATCCTGGTCAAACAATGACTATCCATTATATTCCTGGAATCGTCAGAGAAGCATTTCCTGCTTCAGTCACTGATCGAAATGCAATAGCCGGATTTACCTGTACCGGTATAAGTCCATATAATAGAAATATATTTACAGCTGTTGATTATGCACCATCGACTGTTACTGATCGGCCTTTACAAATAAACAGTGACAATCCATCTAATGACGTGTTGACTAGTTTTGATGCAACGACAACCACCCAAGTTGATCCAGATACTGTCGAGCATACAGGTAACAATGATTCTTCAAATATATTATCATCTAATCAAGGATCCCATTCGCCTACACCAGGACCTAGCGGGTTACAGAAAGCAAATTCTTCTCAGCCATTTGATTTGACACCCAAAGATCTGAGACCATTACCACAAGCAGGCCCGAGGACTGTATCATGCAGAGGACGTAAAAAACGTAAGACAGCAATATTGACGGACACGCCCGAAAAAAACGCAATTGAGGAAGAATACCTAGAAAGAAACAAAGCTAAGAGAGCGGTTTTACCACCTGATACTGGAAATGACAAGAAAAAGTTGATATCTACGAAAGGGAAGGGAAAAGGAAAAAAGACAAAAAAAGCAGCTGAAGAGAAGGAAAACAAATCAGACGACGAAGATTGCTTTTGTCTCGTTTGTTTAGAAACCTTTGGCAATAGCCGGCCAAGTGAACAGTGGGTTCAATGCCTCTCGTGCAAAATGTGGTCACATGCCGAATGTGTTCATGATGATGCTAATTATATATGTCACAACTGTGAGTCTGAATAAAATAAGGCTGATTAATAAAAAATATTACTTTAAGTTTAAAAAATACTGATCTCATTACTAGAGAAGAAATAATAATTTGTTTTGTTGTCTTAAATATTTTTTTTTAAGTTTTTGAGCATTTTGAATGCAACTTATTTTAAAACAAAGTCCTAAAATAAATAATATGTTGATTTAATATGTCATATTGTTTTATTTACAAACCCTTTTGGCCTGTTACTTTTGACCCACAATGTGTTACTTTCGTCCTGCCTATGTGGTCGGAAGTAACAAGTTCTAATTTTTTTTCGAGTCTATGTGATTCATATCTAATGAACAATAAAAAGTGAAATTGAGATACCAATGTAAAGACCATAAATGGAATGTTTAAATGGTTATATTCATTTCTATAAAATAATCACATCTAACCAGAAATCAAAGTAAAAGTAAAAAATGTTACTTTTGTACCCGGTCTCCCCTAATAATCCAATGAAGATCCCCATGTGATCTGTACACGAGGTGAAGGTACTATGGACATTATCAATTACTTATGTGTGTATTAACATTACTCACAACCGTGTCGTCTTAGTAGAGAGTAATATTTGACTAAATTATTTCCTTTTACAATACATGTCTTTTACATCTATCACACGTCTTGAAACCGGAATAAATATGTAAATTTCCAACTTGAAACATTTGTTATTTTCATTATTCATCGACGAATAAAAGGACTAAAAGTTATCTTGAGTACATACTTTTGTTTTGAGTATGATAGATAAAACTGCCTAACTAATACTTGTTGAATTGTATACGCGTGAAAGGAATTTTACCAAGTTATATCTACTCCAAGTACGTACTTATGAAAAATGTGGATGAGTTCGGTTTGTTGTGAAACATTGTATCAACTTTGGGACTAAAGAAACTGCGTAATTATTAAAGTTGTTCTGTTTACTAACATATTTACGTATACTCAACTATTCTTCTATAATAAAATAATGTACTAATATAAATCTGTATTGTCAATCTTTTATTTAAGACATTAAGTTGCTGATTTCGTCGCATGAAAATAATTGTCTCATAAAACAAAACGTAGGTGCTTCGCTACGCTCCATCATAATATAGGTCACATGATGGCTCATAAATACGATTATTACGTTTCCCTCGAACAAAGCTTTATCTGCGTCTCTTATAGCTGTGGTGACGTAATATTGATGTCAGCAGATGTAAGGGAATCTCCGTAAGTTCTAACGTCATTACCTATCGTTTGTTTGATTGGTTCCAGATAGCAGGATGGGAATGAGCCCCGAGCGCTTTGGACTCGTATTACTCAAGGGAACTTACATAAATGTTAACGGGTCCGTTGTCGCCTTTGCCTGATATCATATAGCTATATCTTTTCATAAAGTATTAAAGAAGTTCGCAGCTTAAATCTCACGCACACAATTTTATAGAATTTATCTGAGCTAGTAAAATTCGCGCTAGCAATAATCTCCTAGGGTAGCGAAAATTGTTATAGCGCTTATGTAGTGTTAAGTCGCTTTTTATTACGTTTCAACCCTAACGGTGGTCCATTTCGATAACATGATTTTTACAACCTAAGGGTAAGTTGGGACCATCAATATAATTCAGAGCACAATTATATAGAAATAAATCCTTGTCTTGAATCGAGTGTGGTTTAGTTACTGCATAATTTATGGCCGACTCTTGATAAAACTTGTTGGAAAATGTACAAAGACGATAAATTATGGGGCAATACATTCTGGCGTACATTATTCAAATGCAGTCTTAGTGCAGTTGCCATCGTAGATCGAAGTGCTCAATGGATTTATCCTGGCCGTCGTTAATTTATTGCCGATCGAGAGGGAGTTGAATAACAGCTGTACAAAGGAATTTACGTATGACTTCACTTTTCTACGCTAGAGTACTTTGTAATTCTTTGACGACTACATTTGAACTAAGAAATATGTACGTTCTGCTTACAAATTTTTAGATACAGAGAAAATTTAAATCATTTTGATACAGCAAAATTTTAAACTCAACTTTCCACTAAATTAAACTCATAATCCAATTCAGAGACCTCGTTAGACATATTTCACAAGAACCTGCGTGAGGCCCATAAACGTCGTAATCCAACACACACAGTGTCCTAAATAATCCCAATCGTCCATTACGAGGATATTTTACGGTCATTTAGCTTATAAAACTTAGACTTATTTCAGAGGTGGCTGGGGCTCTCACGGGCTGTCACAGTCGGCGCGTTCCCCAATTCCTAAGGCCGTGCTTTTCTTTTAATGCGCTCGCAATGTTCGCGTGCCCGGACCAATTTGTGTTGGCGCCTTATCGCTGAGGCTAATGTTCAGTGTAATGCCACTTCCGACATGAAAACTGTTCTGAACTCATTGTTCTCCCCATCGGCTCGCCTCTTTAAAATACTGTGTGTGGATAAACACAGCCAATAGGAAGCAACCCGTTTCCGTTAATTTGGATTAAGACGTGGCAGCATATTGTTGAGATTTTTATTATTTCCTTTGTTTGTGGAAACTGTCAAAGATGATAAAATTTTGTAATGAAAGTAACACGAAAGGTCGGTATTAAACGTGACGCGCTTTATTTGAGAAGGTGCTCACTTTCATATTCGCGTCAAAAGGCGACATTTTTATTAAACAGTACAAGGATAAATCCGCGATACCTACTCACATATTGTATCGTGAATACACATATTTCGCGTGTCAGCGCAAGCAGGTGCTCGTTCAGAGTTTGTCCCGTCAGCAAACATAACAGCGTCCATTATTACAGTTGCGTAGTTCCCTCACCTCCGCGTCTCCGGCCGACACATCAAGATATATCGCCGATGTGAGCCACGGAAGAAAACACTTTTTCATTGATTCAGTGCCACATCTGGCGACAAAACGCCTTCGGCTTTCCATTCTGATGACCTGACTTGACATTTTTATTGCTCTCCATATTTTTGTGCGCCTCCAAGGCATTCCTCGTTTATGGAACCGGGTAAAATATTGTGAAACTTGTGAAGGACAGAACAGATATTATGATATTACTGACACGATATATTGAAGAACTTTTGACGGCAATGGGATGCTCGTAGCACTGGCCTTTCGCCTTTTTTATCGCACTTCTTTTATCTTTTATCGCAACAGTTTGTTACGCCGAAGTTATGCGTCAAAATTATGCTGTTCCATATTGTGCCTAACTGTCTGAGAATAATTCCGACAACGTTTTATTAATAACTTCTTCAGTCATGTTTCATATAGAAGTCAATGTTGTGTTACGACAAAAGGTATTTTAAACTTTATTCAAAACATAAGCTATTTATAATAAAAATATTCCAATTGAGGAACTTCTATAATTAAATATAACTTGCGTGAAAAAATATTAGGCAAATGTTGTTTTGCTCAGCAACGGCTATTTCCGAGAAGTTAGTGATTCGAAAGAATAGAACTGTTAATTGAGGAGTTTGCCAATACTTTGCTCGATCAATAAATTAATCGAGCGGATGAGGTCTTAAATTAAGAAACTTTGAGGTACACCTCTAATCTGCTGCGAAAAGACAAAAGAAAAACTTCCCTAATTCAAAGTCGCGGGAATGTACCCGCCTACACACGAGATGCCAACATAATTGACATAAAAGTTTTTGCGATATCGATTGAATTAGTACGAAGACCTAATTCGTTAGTACTCGTTTGTGTTTGAAAAAAAAAACTTTTAGCCGGGAACTGTCAAACTCCGTGACGCGCTGCTCTTACAACAAAATACAATTTGTCATGATTGATCAAAGAAGTTGGCCAAAACAAAGACAGACCCAGTAACAAAGCCGTCTTTTGTTTAAGAATTTTTTGGCCAGTATCGAAGGCTTTTAAAACGTCAGACTAACGTTGGTGTTGCTCAGAAAGTTAGTCAAAAGTTTAGAACTAATTATTTACTTGAACAATCATTTATTTTTGAGTAAAAATTACGATGTTCGGACTTGTTTGACTAAACCGAAGGGAAAATGTACTAGACTTAGACACATAATTTTTAGGAAAATTTAACGTACGTTCATATGAAATGGTATTTATATCCGGTATTGTAAACATTAAAACATTTGTCATAACTTTAGTTATAAACTAATAATTAAGGTATGAAGATTAAACATAAACATTCATCTTTATACAAAGCTCTTTTATTTCAAGCGCCTAAAAAGAAATTTACGCATACATTCGAGACGTTTAAGTTATTCATGTGACAAAAAATTGGCCAAACATTTTACATGTAAGCGAGGATTACAGAAACACGTAATAAATACTGCAAATTTTTATCGTTCACCTTTGATCGTTTGCCTCAAAATTTTCTTTTTAACTACGTACACGCAATTTTACATCTTCAAAGCATTTCTAAGTACAGGTTGAATTTTCGAGGGAATTGGCTGTAAACATAATGTTTTTTTTCAAGCCACTTGGTTTGGGGAATAAACAGGGCGATAAATATTCATGAGGAAAGTAAGCCTTCTTGTCATAGGCCTTGAGGGCCTGATGGATGGTGAACGTGCTTTACCGTTATTATACATATACGTATGAAAGAATACTTATTACCTAAATCATTGGGGCACCTATTAAAATTGAATACATTTTAATGTCTCCTCTATTATTCAAAAACACTGTTTTCTTATAAACTGTGGTTTTATTGTAATGACTGACAAATTTTAGTATCGATTTACTACTAGATAAGTAATATAAATAAATAATAGTAAAAGGAATTGATTTGTGTTTTTCGAAACATTGAACTGACTTTACTGCCTGTGGGGTGGTTGGATATAATGTCTTATATTTAAATATGATTCGGGCTAAGAATGGATAGAAATATGACATATTTGATGATAAACACTTCTTAGAAATTGAATAATCGGGAAGATGTCATTGAAATAATATTTATTTTCTACCAACAGACTATAACATATAAAGCTGATATTCTTACCACTCTGAGAAGAAACACCGAAATAAACTTAGAGGTCACAGTATCTTATTCCCGTGGTAGATATGATTTTCTATACCTCTATATCAGTCTGAATAA